ACTCAGTACAGAGGCTCCTCCCCATTCAGAAACAGCTGATGGTAAATATTTGAATGGGAGGAGCCTCTGTACTGAGAGCTTCCCATCCATTGAGTGCTGAGGCTGTAGAAAAAGAAATTGAGGATTTGGTGTCCTCAATTTCTTTTCTATTTTACAAGGGAAATGTCAGGGGTCTGTTTGGACCCCTAATATTTCCCCGAAGCCCCCCAACAGTAAAAAATAAATAAATATGAAAAAAATAATAAAAACATATTTTAAAAAAGTGAAAACTGCCCCCCCCCTCCCGCCACACACACACACATATTATTAGACAAGTGCGAAAGACAAAAAATTCATTTCAGATGAAATGAACGAAAACTAAAAAAGTTTTCATTTGTTTCATCAAACAAAACACATTTATATGCTATTTTGGATTCAGCCATTGGCGTGCTCTGGAGGCAGGGCGCATGACGTCATATAACACCGCACGTGTTGGGCGCCGCCATCTTGGTGTATATCTAGGTATACACCAAGATGGTTGGGCCAATATCGGCGTGTGAGGTCACCTGACGCCACGCATGCATGGCGTCATGTAACGTCATGCTCCCTGCCTCCAAGATGGTGGTACGCATTCACAGAACACGCTGGTGGCCAACATGGCCGCCGCACATTCTCAAACAAATTATTATTATGTGTCTGAATACATTTCTCGTATATTTGGACATATAGTAATTCATTAATTTACATGTAGCCCGGGGTCTGTGTTCTGTTTTTTATTTTTACTTTTCTAGATGCACTTACTTGAAAAAAGGGATCGGCATGACATCCTGACACTTTATTGTTATAGACTCTATTGTAGTTTGACATTTATTGTTTACCTTCTGTTGTTTTATTTGATAAGAATACTTCTATTGTGCCTACAAGTTTAATACCTTTGAATAAAAGTTTTATGAATAAAAATTACTTTTTTATATGTTTCTTTGCGGCTTAACAAAATAGGAGTCTTTAAATGGTGCGGATATTGGGGAAAATGGGTGTGGTTACGGGTGTGTGGCCACTAAAGGGTGTGGCCACTGAGGGGCGCTGTAAAGCTTTCTCGCACAGGGCGCCTAAAGGCCTAAGGCCGGCCCTGTACCTAGTGAGTTGGAGTGACATTTGTTTGTGATGGAGCCCTAGTAGTGTAGCTTAAATGTGCTAAGTTTATGGCTTGAAGCCTAAATTTATTGTGGGTACAAAAGATATTAGCATGGTGGGATGTAAGGTTATCAACTCTAGAGTCTCAGGCACATATCAAAGGTTATGATCATAAGGAATAGACTATGCAAATAGAAAAATTAAAATGCATATATAAAAATAAAAAATAAAAGTCAAACAACAGCACCTGTTAAGGTGAGTTCACAGGTAGAGTAACCTGGAAACAGTTGGCGTTCAAGGGCCCAGGTGTCGGGCTAAGGAGAAAGAAGGCACGGAGTGGTAGCTAAGCAATCCGTTCATCCGGCAGAGTGCGATTCGGAGATGCCCGAAGCACGGCGCCTCCTCTGACGTTGTGCGGATCTCGGAGGCAGTGGGGCTTTGGAAGTCACTGGGGGGGTCTGGTTCCGTGCGCCTCTCGGATCGGGGATGGAGGGGCGGTGTGGTTGTGAATCTGTTGCTCTGAGGCCTAGTTCTTTCATCAGGCCCATGGCTTCCGCCAATGTACCGGCTTGGTATTGGCAGCCTTTGTGGGTAAAGAGTAGGCGGAAAGGGAAACCCCATCTGTAGGGGATACTAGACTGCTGCAGATGGCGGAGGGCCAGTTTCATTTTGCGCCTCTTAGCAATAGTGGAGGGGGCAAGATCGGCCAATACCTGGTAGGCATAGTCCTGGAAGGATAAGGGTCCCTTTTTTCTGGATTCTTGTAAGATGGTTTCTCTAGTGCGGCAGTATTGGAACTTGACGATGATGTCCCTAGGTGGGCCATCTTTAGTACGGCGCGTGAGGGCGCGGTGAATACGCTGAAATTCCAGTCTATCATGTGGGATAGATGGCATCAGCTCTTGGAATAGGGCTGTGATGAAGGCTTGAAGATCAATCACGGATTCTGGAACACCTCGGATCCGCAGGTTCGAGCGGCGCAATCTTATTTTCAAGATCCTCCAATTTAGACGACAATTGCAGGTTTTCATCTTTGATGGCGGCTAACTCACGGTCATGGGCAGTGATAGAGAAGGTGACCTCGTCCATTCTGGACTCCAGCTCAGCGGTTCTGTGACCCAGCTCCCGGATTTCCTTTGTCAGTTTATCCGTTATTCGTCTGGAGGTGCTTTGTAGAGCTTTTTGCAGCATGCGATCGATCTTTTGCAGCAGCACTCTGTGGCCTGATTGCTCTCTGGTAGGGGAGGGGGAGCTGGCTCTGCTGCCTGTGTCATCACCCTCTGAGTGTGGAAAGAGTGGGGAGGAGGCTCGTTTATCTGTGCTAGTGCGGGTGGGAGTCTGCGCCATCTTGGATTTAGAGCCTGCCAGGGCGTCCTTTATATTGTGACTCCGCAGCTTCGTTTTGGGGGTGTTTGAGGACATGGCTGTGTTGCCGGATCGTTACGGTACTTGCCGGTAAGTTTGGTCGGGTGATCGGGTCCGTGTTGCCGTATTAAAGTTTCCCTGAAACGCCGGCGAGGAGCAGAGCTGCCTTAGGACACGTCAGCCTTTCAGCGCGCCACGCATGCGCCCCCAATAAAACAGTTTTATTAGTGTGTGGTAATATTTAAAACTGTTTCCAAATATTATTTGTAATCATCTTTCTGTTTGTGCTTTGCTGATCATCATATCTCAGTGGAAGTCTACCAGACAGGGAAACTGTCTGACTGAAAACAATAAACCAGGGGTAGGCAACCTCAGCACTCCAGCTGTGGTGAAACTACAAATGACCATCATGCTTCTGCCTCTGAGAGTCATTACTGTGACTGTCAGAGTCTTGCAATGCTTTATTTGACTTGTAGTTGCACAATAGATGGAGTGCCAAGGTTGCCTACCCCTGCAATAAACTATGTTAGTCTCTAATTAGATGAAACTCCAACATGGCACCTGCTTGGCAGACACTCTGGACATTGCAGGGGAAATTTTGCCTTAGCTTAGTGAATGTGCAAAGAATACCCAATCATGCAAGAAAATAAAAATAAAATGTTTTTGTTTGCACATGATTGGGTGATGGAAGTCAAAAGAGCTTCACCTCATTCAATAAAATAAGCAGAATCTTCCCCTACAATTTGCAAATTCCCTTGCAAAGTGAACAGTGTATTTGCCTTTAGTAAATCAACCCTTATGCCAGGCTTTAAATGAGGAATGAGACAGTTTGGAAATCAATTTTGTTCTCATGACAAGAGATAGTCCACTCAAAATATAGTTTGGCCATGCTGTCATGTGTCCTATTGATTCATGAAAAGTGTTGAAAGACTGGTACACTTTAAATCTTCTGTGTGCATTTTAAATAAGTTTAAGACTCTGGGAATTACAAAAGATAGATTAATCCTGCATGGGAATGTGCTAGCAATGAGCAATCTTTTAAATGTGAAACTAGGAGCTTGGCACATGTTAGAAATGGAGACTGTAGATGATAAATAAGTAATAAAATCAAAGACTGAGCTGATTAATGTGCATTACATATTAGGTGAAACACATCCTTCCATATTAAACTCAGCCGTAATGACACACAATAGCTTAATGTGCCACACTCATAAATTATTTTCTGTACATGAAAACGTGATGGCACCATGGCTTGGCTACACTGGACATTTTTTTCCAAGGTTACATAAATGTTATATATATATATATATATATACAGGTGAAACTCGAAAACAGGCAGTCCCCGAGTTACGGACGTCCGACTTACGGATAATCCGTACTTACGAACGGGGTCCACAGTTCTCCTAAATGTACCGGCAGCCACCGGTACATTTAGGAGAACTGTGGCTGCAGCGGCCTGTGTCCCTTCTGCTCTCCTCGCCTGTGTTGGTGGAGGCAGCGGGGACACAGACCGCTGCATTCTGCCGCTGCCCCCCATACCTCCGCTGATGTCCCGGCCTCCTCATCCGCCAATCCGTCGGTTTCCCCGGTCAGGACGATCATCTGCTCGCCGTCTCGGTCCTGCCGCTCCTTCGCTGTCCTGCCCCCAGGCCTCCTCTTCATTGCAGGCTGGGAGCTATACCCAGCCTGCTATTGGCTATTGTCAAATGCAATAGCCAATAGCAAGCTGGCTATTGTACCCGCCCACTGCTTGCTTATATCAGCACGGGAGGACCTTATAGAGAACTTTCTCCATCAGGCCCCTCCTCTGCTGATTGACATCAAGCAGTGGGCAGATGCAATAGCCAGCTTGCTATTGTCTATTGCATTTTACAATATCCAATAGCAAGCTGGGTATGGCTCCCAGCATTAAAATAATTTTAAAAAGTTTAAAAAAAAAAAAATTTAAAAAGACAAAGAAATCTAAAAAAAGTTAAATAAATAAAAATGTAAAATGCAAACAAATTTAAAAAAATTAAAGTTTATAAAATAAAATTAAAAATAGCAAAAACTTTTTTGGTGTAATTTTAAATAAAACATTTTTTTTATTATATTATAATCTTCTGAACAAGGGGAACAGACAGCAAAACAAACGTGACCCTTCCCTATGCTATCCAAAATGAAATGTTTTTTTGGCTGGAGTTACACTTAAAAAATGTACCTGTTCCGACTTACATACAAATTCAACTTAAGTACAAACCTAAAGTCCCTAACTTGTATGTAACTCGTGGACCGCCTGTATAGGCTTTGCTCTATTACGGAAGTGTAATGAAAAGAAGTAAGTAGGTAGAAAGATCTGAATATATCTGTTAACATCTTTCGTATTAAGTACGCATTTACCCAGTAAGAGATCATGTAAGTTCATAAAAAAATAATTCTATGCATTTTAATAAGCAGACATCTTGTACGTCTCTTCCCATTTAACCCAGTATCTGTACATGAGTTGGCTTTAGAATACTATAGTTCACCAATATACCCCTTACCTGTTACAAGCGTTATGCTGTAGCATAAAGATCCTCACTATGAATGCGTTAGACTGTATGACAAGGGAGCATTAGTCTGAGATCAAGGTCCTGCGGGGAGTGCCTGAATGAAGGAGGAGGTACAAGACTTGGAGAACAGAGTAACTCTATCTTGACAGGATCCTGCAGATTAAATGATCACGATCACATATTTGCTTTACTTCAGAAAAGATTACTATGACATAAAAGAGATATATGAAGCCACCTATATTTGTTTATTTAAAACTAGCCTAGTTGAAGCTGCATTCTGGGCACAAAAATCATCATTTAAATATACTCCTCAATAGCCACAGATGATATGAATCTGCTTTGTGTGCACCAAATGTCTTTGCCAATCCAGTTAATATCTTGTAAAAGTAGCAGTGATAACATCAAAGTGCTGCATAGCCTGTGCAGAGAGCAGAGCAGTGGGAGGGGCTCAGAAGACCCACCCACTACAGGCTGCCTGCAGAGAACTACAGGAGGGGGTGTGCACAAGACCAGTCACCCTGCATAAGAGAGAGAGAGAGCAGCAGTGACCGGTCTTTATTACAGAAAGCTCCTGTACAGAGGAAATGTTTCACACTGGATTACTGCACAGACTTACACAAAGCACACCAAGATTCAAGTGAGAATGAACATGCCGATTGTATGTATACAATATTTGATTATCCTGGAGTTCAGCTATAATCTGCTTTAACACTGATGCAGTTATTCAGAACCTGTGGTGTAACTATAGCCATAGCAGCCCAGGTGGCTGATATGGGGCCTGGGAGTGGAAGGGGGCCTCAACAGGTTTCAGGAGTAGGAGTGGTTGCAGTTGACGACAACTCTGAACCCTTGTAAAGCCTACAGTGTAGAGTCAACTTAATATGCACAACAGGAGTGTTTGGGATCGTGGCATCGCTACTCACAGCTCAGAGAGGTCATGATCTGTAGTTACGGCCCTGCTTAGAACCATTAAGAGAAGACTGCAGTCAGAATAAAAAATACTAGTAAATGTAATATAAAGCTGTGTGCACTTGGCTTGTCTCTATGAATATCCATCTGCAGCAATACATGCAGCAAGTATCACATGTACATTCATATCAGCTGAGAGCAGATTCACTTAATGATAGGAAATGGATGAAGGGAGGGCTCAGCATTTGAATGCATGTGCACTGTGTTATCCAGGACTAGAGTCACCAGCATTTCCTTTTAGCCCCCATTCACAACTGAGTGTTTCCCGAAGCACAACAAAACTCAACATAAAGAATCCTATTATTTTGAAAGGTGCCTGTTCACACCTAAGTGCTGTGTCGCTTCTCGCATGAAAAAATACAGAACATTTTTCAGGCGGAGTCATGCATTTTTGGTCCTATAAACTTCAATGGGAGCGTCTGAAAATTTTTTGAAGGACACATGACTTCCTTGCCTTTTCATTAGCTAAAAAAAGAACGCACAAACATGAAAAGACCTAAAAAAAAACATGTGTAATAACACAAAAAAAGTTTAGAACTCATATGAAAATGCAGGTTGTGGTTTGGTAGTAAGAAGACATTACCTTGCAACGTAATAAATGAATGAAACATGTTACATATCTACTAGCTTATATAGGATTCTGCATTCACGCAGCCAAGGCCATCCCTATAATGAGGTAGCTTGAGGTAGTTGCCTCAGGCAGCATCTCATTGGGTCACATGGGGAGGCCACAGGTATACCTGTGACACTCTGACCAGTGTCCTGCCCAGCTCACTGGCATCCCTGGTTGCCAGGTGCTGAGTGGAAAACTCTGGCTGGTGTTCTGCCCAGCTCCTGGCAACCAGTAACATCATTGAGCTGGGTGGGAAGCCTGACAGAACTGACAACTGGCACTGCCCATCTAGAGGCAGAGCCAGCTGTACCCACCCCCTCCCCAGACCGTTACGCCAGTCAGCGCTGGCGGATCGGGGAGCGGGGAATCCAGCCCCTCCCCTGTCACGGCAGAGAGCCGTGACAGGATCGAGAGGTGAGCGAATGCCGGTATATGTTCGCTCACCTCCCGATCTACTGAGCCGACCTGTGACAGTCTCATTGTCACAGGTCGGCTAGAACTATGAGGTGAGTGAAAAACTTCTCCTTTAACTGTGTATAATAAAACCTACAGATGCCCCTCGTAGTAATGCACAGTTAATAACCTGGATGTACAGAAGGAGCACAATGGGCCTAATTTACTAAAGGATATACATAATGCCAGCTAATCTATAAGGCTCCATTCACAATGGCTATGTGTGTTGACGCGCCCCCCAACATGTGGTCAAAGAAACGTGTGAAGCTTGCAACTTGAACTGCTGCATGAGCTTCTTTCTTGCATTTGTTGTGAATAGGGCAGACTATTGAAGTGAATGGGCTGCCCTATGCAGACGCCTGGCAAACACAGCAAAACCCATTGCACGGTCACACTTGCGGCCTAATGCACAAAGACAAAGGCATGCTCACACAGTTTACTATACACCCAAGATGTGCAAGGCTACAGCCAATATATATGCTGAATTTACTAACAAGTGTGGTTTGCTGCGAGATGTACGCTCCAGCATCTGAAAGGACAACAGACAAACTATGGTATGCCTGAAATAAAATTAAAAAAAATTGTTTTATTTCAAATGTGCACCCCATGTAGGAATAAAACTTCCATCAAGTGCACAAGGCTATCATTAACCTCCCTGGCGCTATGATTATGGAGGATTTTAGCATGCCAAAGCGGTACATTGTTTTTCATGGCAATTTGTTGTTTTATATTGTAGGCCTGTAATTCTTAGTAAATCTTAGGAATAACTCACCTAAATCTGTCCAAACAAGAGTCCAGTAGACATCCCGGGTATGATAAAGTTTGAAACACGACATCATAAATTATAATATAATAAATAATTATAAGAAATTATAATATAATAAATAATTATAAAAAATTATAATATAATAATAAAAAAAATAGTCCAGTAAATGGGAATTCTGGGGGCGCTGCCTGATCCGTACCACAGTCAATAGAGTACAGTAAAAGTGTCAGGCAGGGCACTGGACAAAGCTCTAGGGACAAAATTGAAGTACAAAATTACTGATAGGTAAATAGACAAATTTCTGTTTTTCTGACACCAACCTGGCAGAATACACATGGATAGGGGGCCAAGCTAAATCCATGTGTATGCTGCCATGCTTTAAGGTCAGGAAAATTACCAATAGGTATAATTTTACATTATTTCTTAGCTAACTGGTTACATTTGTGTTTTTTTATTCTATTTTACTTTTACAGAAAAACATTGACTTTTTAGGAACAGAAGGCCCAAATAAGCCTTCTTATGTGAATAACAATGTAAGTTTGTACCATACACAATAAACATCATTTTGCGATGAAAATGATTGGTTCAGGGAATCCAAATGCTACACTTAGGGCCCTTTCACATCAGTTATATGGTACAATGCTCCATTTTACCACGTAGGTGGCAGCGGTGTGTAGCGGTGCCTTGTGTTTTTACACAAGGCTCCTCTACACAAGGCACTGTTCACTTCTTTAGCAGCGTACAAATTATACACTGAATTCAGGTCTCTGCACAGCAGCTAAAGGGCTGCACTGTAGTGTGGTGGCCTTTGGAGTCATGCAGTGCGCTGAGGAAGAATGGAGAGTGTCTGCATTTTTCAACATAGCACAAGTATTGTGGTGTGAACGGGACACATAGAAAACAAATGATTGCGTTGATCAAGTGTGAATTATTACAAATACAAAAGAATTAGAAGGACCCTGCTCGTGAGAGTTTACAATCTACGAAATCCTATGAAACATATTTTAGTTTTGCAACCTGAGTTCACTGAGGACAGCAGCCTGCAGTTTTGTGTTATCCTGCTACAGTTGCTACATTTATTGTGTCATTATTGCTGTGTCATTCTCTCCTTCTGTGGCCTTTGTGCTCATCTCACACAGATGTACTTATCCATGTACTGCAGACTCAGGGCCACGTGACTAACTGAAAACGGTGTGCCACAATGACCTTAGGCATTAACATGACAGCATTCATTTCATATGTAACACTATATCAAAATATATCTGTGTATACTTATATATACATTGGGGGGAATTTATCAAAGCAATTGCAACATTTTTAGCTTCTTAGATCACTTTTTTATGTGCAAATATGTCTTGTAACATGTGCCCCTGTTTTGACCTGAGCTTACACTACTTTTTCAATTGCATGTTGTTTGCACGTTTTTTGCACCTGTTTACATCTGCACTTATCCTGCGGCTGTCTGCAACTGGAGCATCACCTAACAAAACAATCGCAACTTAAGAAGTCTCCATGACAACTTCTTCAAGAAGCGACAGTTAAGCTTTTTGCCTGGAGTTAAAAGTCTTCTTTCCTGGAGTCTGTTAAACTCATGTATGAACAACATTACACTAGCATCATAAATTCGGTGCAAAGTGCATGAAATATATTCCGTGCACGTTCACACACTCGCAATTGCTATAATAAATTCCCCCCATAGTATGTGCAACATATACAGAATACATATTCACTCACATGTCATATAGTCTGGGTTTGCCGGATGGCAGGAGAACGGTACTTGCCTGACTGCATTGTGCCAAGTGCTAACAATTCCATGCTCCCAGCTTTGTGGGAAGAGTTTGGGGATGGCCTCTTCCTGTTTCAACATGACTGCGCCCCAGTGCACAAAGCAAGGTCCATAAAGACAAGGATGAGCGAGTTTGGGTTGGAGGAACTTGACTGGCATGCACAGAGTCCTGACCTCAACCCGATAGAACACCTTTGGGATGAATTAGAGCGGAGACTGCGAGCCAGGCCTTCTCGTCCAACATCAGTACCTGACCTCACAAATGCGCTTCTGGAAGAATGGTCAAACATTCCTATAGACACACTCCTAAACCTTGTGGACGCCTTCCCAGAAGAGTTGAAGCTGTTATAGCTGAAAAGGGTGGGCCAACTCAATATTGAACCCTACGGACTAAGACTGGGATGCCATTAAAGTTCATGTGCGTGTAAAGGCAGGCGTCCCAATACTTTTGGTA